GTGTGTGCGTGTGTGTGTGTGTGTGTGTGTGCGTGTGTGCGTGTACGTGTGTGTGTGTGTGTGTGTGTGTGTGTGTGTGTGTGTGTGTGTTCTAACATAATCAGGGAGTGAAGTGGACTATCCCAAGAAGAACACATAACAAAGTTCTCAGGGAGCAATGGCCGCTTCTACACCGTGAGGATAATGAGAGCACTGAGCTGGAGGATGTACCCAGCACGTTGTTGTGTCGTTTGTAGAGGATGGTCTGTTCACACTCTATCCTGCTATTTACTCAGTCAGGAGTGCCTTGCATGTTTAAAGCAGCCCATCTCATCACTCTCCTTCCTCTTTAAAAGCTGACGATTAAAAAGCTGACGATTAAAAACAGATCTTGAGGTTTTTCTCCTTCTGTGGATCTTCGATTTTTGCTTGGTATATCAGGGCTTTTCTCCCTCCCCCACTTCCTTCTTTCCTTTTCATCTTTCTTTATGGTGCTGGGGCTCAAACTTAGAGCCTTGTGTGTGCTAGGCAAGTGCTGCACCCAGCCCCAGCCCAATTTAATACTTGAACAACACAGGGAAGGCTCTTCTGCTGACTTGACATGCTAAGAGAAGAGAAGAAATAACTGCAAATGACATGCACCTTACGCAGTTTGTACCTTGCTGCACGGAGCAATCCAATAGGCTATGGCGAGAAAAGGGAGGCCTATGGAGACTCCAAAGACAGCCAGGAATTTCACAGCGATAGACTGTTGCCGTAAGCCTGAGAGATTTTCATACCACATGGTAAGTAATTGCTGCTGACAGTTAGGGTGAGCAACGAACTGTAAAAACAAAACAAAAACAAAAACAAAATGCAAACAGGAAAATGGCGTCATAGCACTTGAACAGTACACAACCCAGGAAGAACACTGGGGCCAGGGAAGCTGTGGCAAGCACCAGAGGGAGGGGCAGGGATAGGCAGGACTTCAGATCTGGGGACCCTGAGGCTGAGGCTGGAGACTTCTTAGAGTGGCAGAATTGTTGCTTCAACCAGGGGCCTGGAGAAATCTCAGACTTAGGAAAGGGCAGCTTTGGGATAAATGCTTGTCTCCAATCCAGGCTGGTCATCTGATCAGAGAGACTTAATCTCTGCACAGAGCTCATCAATAAGCTACACAGAGTAAATCACTACCAGGTTTGAATTGTATATCATTTGTTAGCGAGGCGCCCCTGGACAAGCTCCTTAACCTCAGTATTCTCAGGCAAAACAGGGTTTATCATACCATCTTGGGGATTGCAAAACAGAGTTTACCGTACTGCCTTGGGGATTACGTTAGGGATCATGTCTCCCATGCAGCTGAGGAAAATGTTTACATTTATCCAGAGCCCTGGGTGACTGCCACAGGGCTTCCTTCCTTACTGGTCCTGTGCTTTCCTGCTGGAACACTGACACAGTGTACCTCCATGCAGGACCATCCTTTGGGGACATCAGTCACCTCTCTCAACATGACCTCCTTCTCCTGGAACTGTGGGCTCTAATGGCTAGGTTACAAGTGAACCCTCAGTGGCTATTTTGTTCCCACTTGGTACAGT